CCTAATTCTATATCTTAAGAGTGGTTATCTTAAGTGTGAGTTTTAGGTTCTAGATATTTAATTAAGTGTGTCATATCTTGATTGAATTCTAGATTCAAACCCCAAGTTAAGATAAGAGTGTGTTATATCTCTTAACACCATCTTGGTTTATCCCTTCACTTTACCTCTGCCAATTTCATTTCTCACCATTTCTTCTTCTTGAACTTATTCTTTTCTTTCATCAAAAACCCAAAAAAAACAACTCTTTGTTCCACCCCCATATTTCGTCCCCCTCATTTCCTCTTCACCATTCCATAATTCCATCTTCAAATAGCAACTTGATTATACCCCGGGTCTCGGGTATAACATTATCGAGTAGGATTAGGATTACCCGAGATATTCTAGTTCGAGTAGGAATAGAATTATGGGTCCTAGGATTAATTGACTTACTTGTTGATCAAGTTGGATTTACACTATATATATCATAGCCAAGCCTTGGGTTTTAATATATTTTGAGTTATATTAGGTTTTGAGTTATATTTTCCTAATACAGTTCGATTAGAGTTATTATTTCCTAAAAGCCACTGTTTTTCGATTGGAGCGCCGAGAAAGAAAAATCGTGCGATTGTTTTGTCTTAGGGTACAAAGAAGGGTGTAGATCTAATTTGAGTTGTTCTCTATTCCCGTCCCGATCAGAATTGCAGCAGAGGAGAAGCGCAGGAGCGAAGGCTGCGTCGACTTCCAGATCGCCGCCTCCATCCCATGCTAAATGCTACGAACTACACCGTATGGGCCATGAGACCGAAAGTTGTTTTAAGGGTTCATAAGGTGTGGGAAAAGACTGAACCAGGAACAGGTGATGTCGAGAAGAATGATATGGCAACGGCAATGTTGTTTCAATCAATTCAAAAAATCTGATATTGCAAGTAGGCAATCAGGAGACTGCGAAGGATCTGTGGGATACAATCAAAACTCGTCACTTAGGGACTGAGAGGGTTAGAGAAGCTCGTCTCCAAACCCTAAATGCAGAATTTGATAATCTGAAGATGCATGATTCAGAGATAATTGAAGACTTTGCTGAGAAGTTATCAAGTTTAGCTTCAAAATTCGTAGCCCTTGGAGAAGAGATAAAAGAGGAAAAGATGGTAAAGAAGTTTCTAAAGGCTCTTCCTCGTTCGAAATACATCCATATAGTCGCCTTGTTGAGCAAGTCCTGGATTTGAACAAACTAGGGTTTCAAGAAACCATAGGCCGATTGAAAGCCTACGAAGAGCAAATCAAGAAAGAGGATATAGAAACACAAAGTAAACTATTGTTCTCCAATGGTGAAAGCTCTCATTCTCGAAGGGGAGAAAACGAATCGAGAGGACGAAGCCAATGCAACCAAGGTCGAGAAAGAGACCAAGGCTAGGATGATGATGACCAACATGGAAGTCAATGCTGAGATGGTCAAGATCATGGGTCAAAGTGAACGAGTCAAAGAAGAACCAATGATCATCAAAAGGGTAGATCAGAGATTCAGTGTTATCGATGTGATAAATTTGGCCACTTTGCATCAATATGCCCGGAGCGTATGAAGAAACAGGAAGAAGCTAATTTAGATGAAATTGATGTTTTGGATACATCTTTGATCATGATGAGATGTGATCAAGAGAATGTCTTTCTAAATGAAGAAGGGGTGATTCCAAAGCGTTTTGAGGTTGAACCAAAGGAGAAAGACATTTGGTATCTCGACAACGAAGCATCAAATCACATGACGGGTAATCAAGCTTACTTCTTTGAACTTAATGAACGTGTCACGGGAAAGGTGAAGTTTGGAGATGGATCTTGTATTGACATACGAGGAAAGGGATCTGTATTACTTGAAGGGGAAACGGGGGAGAAGCACCTGTTGACCGATTTGTACTACATACCCACCCTACAAAGCAACATCATAAGCCTTGGTCAAGCAACGGAAGGTGGATGCGACATTCATATTAAGTGCGATTTGGTAACCATTCATGATGACACGGGGAAGCTTATGATGAAGGTGACAAGGACCAAGAATTGCTTGTATAAGATCAATCTAAAGATAGCAAGTCTCAGTACACAAGTTAGCATGATTGGAATGAAGAATCTTGCGGGTAGGGATCTACAAAGAGTTGATCAACTAAAAGAAGGTACGCGAAGTACGAGTTAGAATCTTCTCAAAGGTCCAAGTTTAATGGAGAAACCCAAAATTAAAAGTCCAAAGAAAATGTTCAAGAGTTTAAAGAAGATGTCATGAAAAGGATTCTAGCCCACAAAAGGATGTGTAATGATCGCAAGAAGCAAGTGTGTTTGTTCAAGCTAAGTGGAGCCCAAAGAACACTGCAAGGGATCATGAAGAGCCTTGGGAGAATCAAGGTAAAGAAGACATGCTTGGAGTTAAAGATCACCCGAAATCCAACTCGAAGATTAGGGGGGTGAATGTTGGCTAATTATCGAGTAGGATTAGGATTACCCGAGATATTCTAGGTCGAGTAGAAATAGAATTATGGGTCCTAGGATTAATTAGCTTACTTGTTGACCAAGTTGGGGTTAACACTATATATATCATAGTCAAACCTTGGGTTTTGATATGAGAGCCATATGAGATTTATATGAGAGTTATTGTATTAGGGTTTGAGTTATATTTTCCTAATATAATAAAAGCTAGTTCTCATCAAATTGTGTTCTATTTAGTACTCTAAATTCATACAGGTTGATTCTTTGATGATCAACAGATCAAGTAGCTGCAGTAGAACAAACAGTAGAATATACAGTAGAGCACGTGGAATGACTCACCTCCTGTAGAGTAAGTTCCCAATACTCCTTCAACTCCATGGCCTTCGCTAATTCGCTGAGTGCCTCAAGAAACTTATGAGTAAATTCTTTTTTATGTCTCCTTTTATGACATTGACCAACATATAGAGCATTATAGGTGAAACCTCGGGAAGAAGATTTTTTAGCAACACAAGATGGGCAATACCAATTTCCTTCAGGAATTCTGACAAGTGGAGGATTCAAACAGTATGTGTGGTACTCTGAATCACAACTATCACACAGCAGAACATTGTCATCATCTTTATCCATGCCACAAATTTTGCAAATCCCTTCATCCCAAGGGGCTTTAGGAATTGAGCTTTCAGTAACACGGACAACCAAATCATCACTTTCTTTTTCAGCTTCACTTTTTAAGCAATTCTCGTCCTTGCACTCTACAGCTTTCTGGGCAATGGAAAGAACCTAAAGAAGAAGCAGTCAAGCCAAAAAAAAAGATGCAGATAAAAAACAGCTTTTCCCTTGACGCTTATGTAAGCTTATATTCCGGATATATTATGCACTACGACTACTACAGTTATGCAAAGTTTACGAATACTACAAGTACCTGAAACTACCTTCTTTAAGGCGCAGGACTCTAAATGAAAGAGTATTGATATCTATTAAATATTGTGATATCCTAGCTTGTACTGAGACCAATAGGTCAATAACTCACCCATAGAACAGAAGTCCGAACATAGCACCTATCATATGAGTACTTGGTGACAGTTATTATGTACCAGTATTAGTAACTTGGCTGTAATCATTGGCTTACACCAACAACCTTATGCATTATGAATTTATGATAGAAAAATATAGATAACGAATTTACGCTACACCGGTGACTGTGCAATAACAGAGGCAAACAAAATATGGTTTCTACATATATATAGGGACTAACAAAAAAGCATAAGCTTATTAATTCTAACCTCTTTTACATACAGTTCCTCAAATTTCTGAGATATGGTTCCTGCTAATTCAATCAGGTCAGGCTGATCGCCATATGCAGTGTATATGTTGTTCCAAACCTAAGAAGGGATTTAGGAGAAATATCAGTAAGCAATCAAGATAATACAGCAAAGTGAACTCATTGTACCACACACACATACACTGTGACAATCATTTTACAATATATGGGTTCTGGATCATACTATGAGCATTAGAAGATACGGGCAAGAAAAATGTTTAACCAAACAACAATACAGAACCAACTTGTGTGCTAAAAAGAGAGTATTGGGTCACCCCCAATACAATGTAACTTTTTAGGACATTTCATCTGGATGCACCAAACATATCAGCAGCATATATTAGAAGATAAAGAAAAACTTCAAAAGATAAATATTATATGGTCATCATCACAAGTCACGACTAATATTTAAGAAAGAAAATTATCAAAAGAATAATCTTAAGATATGAAAATTCACCACCATCTACTGAAAACCTAAATCCAAATGTTTGACATAATATGCTCTCTTTGGAAAAGATTTACCTCGCGAACATCATCAACAAAAGCTTCATATGACCCACCATAAAACCCTGCAGCCAATCTTAGATCAATTGTCCTAAAGTCTAAAGGGCGAGAGACCATGGCAGGATATCCAAGACGTCCCTCATCGTCATTATCATTGGGTGTTAGAGCCGTTCGCCCCAATAGATTACAGAAAACTCTATCTTCATCTGCAGCAACAGCTTGACGTAATACAATCTGACATTGCTTCATTATGAGGTCAGATAGAGATATCACATTCTTCACTTTTTCCTTCTTCTCAGGTTTGGATAGCATGTGTTCACTGTTCAAGTCTTCTAGAACGGAAACAACTGCTCTCTGCATTCAAGGGATTCAACAAATTTGATAATGGATGTGCTATAATACCATATTTTCAGGATGTTAAAAACAAATGTTTATTGTTTTTTCATTTTAGAACATCAGCATAGATGTTGATATATGTAAAGCAGCTCTCTTTTATGCATTGTATTAAGTAAAGCTAGGAAAGGTTTACTTTCTTAAGTTTCTTTTTAACTCTCTGTATACTAATTCTCTCAAATGGAGGGATTTGCTATTGGCATTCTTAAATTTGCTATTTTTCTTCCTGTTTATATATACTGATTCCGAGTGTCACTTAGGCTGATTCTTTATGATATTCAAGTTAAACTCCTTAGGATCAACATATACAATTATCAATAACCAATCCGTCCATAGGAGGGACTTAGCATAAAAACTACCAATCCCTCATATGGCATCTTTACTATGTTTTATTAACTAGCTTTACTGAAAAATAGATATAAAAAAATACTTCACACATAATATAAGTATATAACAACACTCTCTCACAAGCTGGGGCATACATGTCATAAGCACCAAGCTTGTTACTAGATCTGATCAAAGTGCGAGCGAGGCCAAGACGCTAAATCTAAGAATTTTCTAAGGACAATCCTGGCTCAGCTTGCACTCTGGGCCTAGGCGCCTAGTAATTGTAGTCCAAGCCCAAACGGGTACCTGGGGCTTGAGGCCTAACCAACACTCAAAACATATATCATAAATATTAAAAATATTTTCTAACAAAATAATGTAATTCCACCGTCCACAAATTTTCTTCTTATTGCGGCTTACAATGCTTGATTGAAGTTATTTTCAATTCAATATCTCTGAAAATTGGTGAATTTTAAAAAATAAAAATTACTCCCTCCGTCTTTAAATAATCTACCTCCTTTTCTTTTCTGGACGTCCCAAAACAATCTTCCTTTTCAGAGGAATTTTGTGGCTAAAATTTTTTATCTCCTCTCATAATCATTTTTCACTTTTCAACACTTCTCTCAAACTATGTGAAAGTCAACCAAGGAAGTTTATTTAAACACGGAGAGAGTACATATTTAAAAACCATATCAAAAGTTTTTCAAAACAAGAGGTAATGATAGAAACCTCTTTGAATTAATTCAGGATCTAAATTAATTCTAAATAGAACTCTCCCTCCCTTCTCTCAGTAAGAATCTAACCGATGAAAAAGTGATAGAAGCCAAGAGGATCTCAATGGGATTGATAATTTATTTTCCAGGATATCTCAGCAATAGAGAAGCTGGGATATTTATAACAACTCTAACAAATGGATAAGATCAAACTGATCGGATAAGATCAAGAGAATAAAGTGATAAGTTCTAACTAGCTAAGCTATCCTAGGCCTTAGGAATCCTAATAACCTGAGAGTCCTTTTATTTAATAAATAAAAAATAGTAACAAACTTAATTAACTCACACCTAATAATATAATTAAGGTGGCCTTCTACGATCACTGATCCGTATCTTATCATTACTCCCCTCTCTGAAAGACACCTTTGTTGGACCAATCTTGACATTCAGTAATAGTTAGGGGGTTTATTTTGTAATTATGTTGAAGTCTTTATTTGATAATAATTAGGGTAGAGTCAGTCATAATTTTAGGAGATATATCTCAGATGGATTTGAGATTATCATAGCTTGTAGGAGTAGGAGATGTTATGCTTGGAGAGCAAGGCTGATGATTTAACTTGGTGGACAAGGTTAACTCATCTATAAATAGGGATAGTTTCTCTGTATTTTATGTATTCAAAGTTTTTCAATTAATTGGAGAAGGATTTCCAATAAGTTCTTGTTCTAGATTTCTGTTTTCTGTTTATCGAGATCTGGTACCAATAACTTCAATTGGTATCGGAGCTGAGTTCGAAGGGCCTGAAACTCTCCTGATCCAAAAGGGCTGGATCAATTACCAGATCCGAAGACAGAGCAGAAGTACAAGCGTCGATCTAAGAACAATACAATGACTGATGCCAACAACCAGGTTGCG